CTCTCTCTCTCTCTCTGTGTCTCATGAATAAATGGATCTTTAAGAAAAGAAAAAAAAAAAAGAAGAAGGGAAAAGAAAAGAAAATGCAGGGCTGGAGCACCGAGCAAAACTCTTGGTTTTGGCTCAGGTCATGATCTCAGGGTCCTGAGATTGAGCATCAAATCAAATTGAGCACATTAGGCTCCATGTTCAGCAGGGTGTCTGCTTGAGACTCTCTCTCTCTCTCTCTCCCCCTCTGCCCCTCCCCCTGCTGGTGCACTCTCGCACACACAAATAAATAAATAAATATTAAAAATAAATATTAAATAAATAAATAAATAAATAATAAGGTCTTCATAAATAATTAAAGACATATAAAAAAAGAAAGAAAGAAAGAAAGAAAGAAAGAAAGAAAGAAAGAAAGAAAGAAAGAAAGAAAGAAAGAAAATGCAGGGTTGGGGACTATTAGTTCCTCCCAGTGTGGGAATAATGATTGGCAATTAGAATACTAACCAATAAAGACCAAACTAAATGAGGAGGTCTTAGGGGGAAGAATCCTACATTGAAATACAGTCAAAGGCTCTCCTTGACTAGTTAAGGTTTATAGGAAGTTACACTGCATTTTCCATGTCCCTCTTTACCCCAAAGATCTACAAGAGTTCTTCTCTTTGGAAGAGTTTTCTAAGTGTAATTCCAGATTTCTTTGGTTACAGGAAAAAACTATTTTACTTGTCTATTCGTTTACTGATTTATTTATTAGTTCATTTATTTCCTCCACTCATTTAAACTGCAAGCTTGATCAGGTAGGATTTTCTGTTTGTCTACTTATAATAGTACCTGCCAGGTAGTAGGTGCTCAATGAATATTCATGATATTTTGAGCTAATTCATCCTTTCATTCCTCAAAAGTTTTTAAAAAAATGCCTACCACATGACAAGTTCTACATATCCAATATTAAAAAGAAATTCTACTGTAAATAAAACTAACTCATGAGAAATATTTAAGTTATAGGAATCAAGCAAAATTTTCTCATTCTAAAGTCAATCTAATTTAAACTAAGAAGATAATTCCCTGCCCTGCTCCAGGAGAATGGGAGGGAAAAATATAGACTAGTATGGCACATGTCCCAAAATATTATAAACAAAACAAAATTCTGGTTATAAATGAAAGAGCTGGGTTGTGGGGGTAGCTATCAAAAGGTAGCACAAGGCATCTTTGTAATGATGGAACAGTTCTATATCTTGGCTGTTAGAGTGGTTACATGAATTTACACATGTGATGAAATTGCATATAAATAAATACGTACACACATCAAGTGCACATAAAACCAGAGAAATCTGAATAAAGTTGGTAAATTGTACCAATATCAATTTGTTGGTGTGCTATAATTATGAAACATCTTACCATTGAGGAAAATGATTTCTTGTATCTGCATATCAATCTATAATTACCTAAAAATAAGTTAAGAAAACAGAACAGCAGAATGCTTATCAAAACATTCTTTATATTGACCAAACATTGGAACCAAGATAAATGTCCAATAAAGAAGTGAACCTAAATGACAGTATATTTTGAAAATAATACAATTCTATGTTTGTAGCATGGAAAGGTGTTCATCATCTAGTAAGCAAAAGAAGCAGGATTTACAAAATACAAGAATACTCGAATTGTGTTAAAAAATATAGACCAAAAAAAAAAAAAGTAAAGACTATTTGTAAAGGTGTACACCAAAATACCATCAGTGTCTGCCTCTGCATGGTAGGATCATAGGTGATTTTCTTTTTAATTTTTCTTCTTCATATTTCTTCATTTTTCTTTCCTAAAATGAACACTATTACCAGATGAAATATCTAAAATGCTGTCTGTGCTGTGTATGAGGCTCAGGTGAATTCTGTGTAGCCCTGAACAAAAACCAAGACATGTGGGAAGATTACATGGAAAGCCATTTTGGTTCCATATAAGAACCAATGAGGTACCTGCCAGAGCCCACAACTTCCAACAAGAATGGTGTTCACCAGAGCCTGGTGAATTCCCTATTAGTAATTATGTGGGTAGGAGTCTGGTTTATGCACACTGGGAGGTTGGACCCAGCTGCTTTCCAATTTTAAAACTCTGTGCCATTTGATTTTACAACGAATTTAACAGACACCACCTTTCATTTCAAAAGCCCCTTTTATGTTTCAAAGCACTTTCACATATGCTGGTTTATATTCATTTCAGTTCAGTACTTAAAAAAAAATCCTGTCTGTACAACAATTACATAGAGTAGGCAAGGCGGTTATTATCACCTCCATGTTACTGAAGAGAAAACTGAAATAACCAGAGAGTGATCTCCTTCAATGTTATGGGTAAGTTAACATATCCCACCTCCTTTCTCTTGACTCATGGTCCCACCCCTCTGTCCTCTAACACTATACAGTCTCTCCCCACCAGGGTTTGGAAGTAGATAGACTTCACCTAATGTTGCTTACACGATGCCTGCCAATTGAAAAAAAAAACAATAATGCTCGGCACAGAATGATAGTAAATACGGGCAGGGATATACCCATCTGATTGTTTCCACTAACCTACACTGACTCAATTAGTGTCCAGTAACCTATATGTCAACTCAGTTTAAAAATCAAGATTGATCAAACTAGCTGGTTGACATGAATAGCCCAGGAGGCCCCTGAATCAAGTTGAAGTTGTTGGTCAATATAATTGCCCTGTACCTGTGTCCCTATGGTCCTGGGAAGGAGCCCATAAGTGAGGCTTCTGGGCCAGTTAAATAGTGAATAGAGTCCATATTGGGCTTAATGAAGCAGGGCTTTGTTACTCTTACCAAAGGAATTAACAGAAGAATTCTGTATTTATTTTGCAGTGGCAGAAGATTAAGCACTTGAGCAATAATATGGCAATTCACCAAAAGAGGTCTTAGTTAGGTGCTATCTGAAATCATGAAATTAAGTGGGAAAACATACACACGGAAAAGGTTTATATGTTTAAGAAAAATAAATCCAAATTTTAGATAAATGATACTCTTCACAAAGTATACTAAACAAATGACATATTTTCATTGGCTGATAGCGTCATTTACACACATATATCATTTTCCTTGTGCCAAGCCCTCCTGAGTGCCTCTCCTCTCAAACACCCCACCAAAGTCATTATAGGAGGAAACAGAAGGGCCAGCGATGTTAAGGTCATTTCCCCTAAATCATACGGCCGCCAAGTGGAAGAAACAGGATTCCAACCTAGATCTGATGACTCCCAAACCAGTGTGTTTCACCATTACTTGCTCTCTTAAAATGCTGAAAGTATATGTCCTTTTTATAAACAGGAAGTAATGGAAGTTTCCTTTAAAAGTCATAATAAATCACTCCAAGAGATAAAGAGTTAACTTGGGAATAGCTGGAGAACAATGAGAGAAACTAGGCTGAACTTCATACATCACAACACACAAGGAGGCAGAAGTGGGACTGGTGAATGGAAAAGAATAAAGCCTCACGGAATCAATGGACTGCTATTGTTAATAAATTATTGATCAAGCTGGTAATGTCATAGCTGTTTGAAATACTTTTCTTCTTAGCTACAATAAATCTAGTCTTTGCATTCAATCTATTCACTCATTCAATAAACAATTATTGAGCATTTACCATATGCTGCTGTTCTAGGCAGTCTGATATCCACAGTGACTCAAAGTAAACAAAGTTCCAGGCTTGGTGGAATTCACATAAGCTCCATGAGGAAATAAGACAGTAGAAAGGGAGCTTGAAGTAGAAGATTTCAGTTTTAATCCTGGCCAGATGGCCATAAGCAAATTATTTGAAATCTCTCTGAATCTCAGTTCACTCACTTCTAAACTAAGGATAATAATATCTGTTTCTATTATACACTGTTTAATTAGGAAAAATGCAAATTTATGCATTAAAAATACTTATTCTTTGGTCTTGGAGAAACTGAGGTAGTTGACAAGGAATAAAAGTTTTGTCCTCATTATTAAATTGTTCAAAATATTTCATTCCATATTTTCCATGATCTAAGCTTTCTGGGTTTAATGTTAACCATGTGTAAGACTTGTGGGGTCAGGATAAGGTCATGCTTCCATACCTAGCCACCAATTTCAAAGTCTATGTTACAGGCTTAAGATGCCATAATTATGTACGTTTTCCTTATTGTGGAAGGAAGTTAAATTATATCTTAGTGATTATTTCATCTTAATTTATATAGAGAGATGCTGCTTCTTGCCTACTTCTTTAGGAATGGATCCATAGCAAGTGATTATTTTTAAAATCTTTGAGTAATTTTCTTTCCTATATTCTTCCATGGTAATATTATTTCATTGTAAGAATGAAATAAGAGCTAGGTGGGGATGGGTGTGTCACAGGCCCACAGGAAGGATCACTGCCCAGCATGAGGCCACACTTTATTGATTAAATCAAAGAAAGAGATTGGTTCCAGTTTCCCCATATCCCTCACCTACCCTACCCTTGGGTGAGGGGGAGGAGGTGGCAGTGGGATTTCCAAGTCTGTTTTTATCACCCAGCAAATCAGAGTCCTTGCTTTCTAAACAAAGAGGTGCCAACCTTGAGACTCTATGAAAGCCAACACAAGCTACACATTGTACACATGTGAAAAGAATATAATTAGCAAAGTTATAGTCACAATTAGGAAATACCTCCTCAGAAAAGTTTCCACTTAACTTTAAGCAGCACTCAAATTACTATTGTGCTTAATGAGGACTCTGTCTCTTGGCCAGCTCAAACCTTTGAGACAAATCTAAGAATAATAGCGCCATCCACAAAACACAGATGCACAAAATTTAATGCTGAATTTTTTTTTGAATAACATATATGAAAAATGTGCAAATTGGGACATGGAAGCTATAATTTAAAAAAAATAAGAAGAGTCACAAAAATGAACAGTTAAGTGTTGGCTAAATTATTCTTTCTTCAAGCTTTTTCTTTGTTTTCTATAGACTTTCCCCATCCCTAAAGAAAAGTTAGAAAAGAGAAACTAGGAAAACAAAAATGGATACTTACTTCATCTCCAGGATCTCCTCCAGCTGTTTTCTCCTTTCTATCCGGAGATTGGCCAAATGTGCTTCTTTTTCAGCCAGGGACTGCTGTGTGGAGGCCAGGCGTGCCTTGGTAGCATCCAGTTCCTGTCTGGTCTTCTCCAATGCATTCATCAGTTCCTCTATCTGAAAGGCACATCGAATGGTGTGTTATTTCTCCTTCATTCAAGCACTAGGACTTCCTTGCTAGCCTATATTCTGACAATAGACACAAAGAATCATAGCCATCCTTAAACAGGGCACTGTATCTTAGAGCCCATTCTTTCTTTGTCACTGGTTGAAAATAAATGTTTCAAACACAAGTAATGTCCAAATTTATCCAAAGTTCTTATTCAATTGGATTGTCCAGTAACCTTTATAGAAACTATTTATATATTTATTAGAAGTGGAAGGTAACTGGCTTGACCCAATTTCAACCTGTGTTTGGCAAAAAATCTCATATACTGCCTCACAGTTGGCGGAAGGGAACACTCAAAATGCACTTGCCCAGCACAATAAACTTTTGTGTGTAGGCCCCAGAGTATTCTGACAGGAAGTTAATCTACGTGTTTCAGATTCATTCATGTTTTAACCTATCAAAGCATTGTTTGGCAAAAGCGATTTGATGTCCAAGGGGCCTCAGGAGCCCCCTCTCACCTCACCTCCCTGCCTCATATTCAGGAAGTAAAGTTTGGCCAAAGGTAAACAGAATTCCAGCCACAAAAGGTTCAAGTTTGGTTTGCCCCTGAAGTTTGAGAGGGTTCTAAACTTGAAATAAATGACATGTAACTTTTATAGGGTGCTAATACACCATAGAAATAAGCCAGACTATCAAATATCCAGGATTTTTAGCCAGGTCCCAAAAAATTGGACCAGGGAGCCCCAAGGCAAGGCCTTATCCTCCCCAAACCATTGGGGGCTTTTAAAAGCCAACACACAACAAAGAGGGCTGGTGTTTACAATTCTGTTCCAGAGACTTCCATGGAGCGAGCCAGTGAAATGCCATCCCTTGCACAGATGCAGGCCGCATCCACCCTGCTGATTTAAAACCATGGTTCCAGGAAGTTTCTAGATTCCAGGGTTGATATTTGGGTTTCTAAGCCACCCCCCTTCCAGCTGAACTTGGCAGAATGGGATCATCCATCACTAAAGTCAACAAAATGCCCTTCAAAATGTGTCAATGACATGTTAGGTTGCAATTCATAAAGAATTTCTACAAAATTTCTTCAGTTTTACATGGAATTTTTTCAGAATAAGCATTATAGTTCACATCCAAGGTAAATTACATGCTCTTAAGATTCAGAAAACCTTCCATTTTTTTCCCTGATAAAAAGAGGAATTTGATGACCATATAATTTAAGTCAAAGCCAAAACCAAAAATAGTTTAAAAAGCTAGGAATATGAGGGTTAACCATGGAAGTCCCAGAACCACACCTGCTTAAGTGTAGAATAAATAGTATTATTCTTTAACTTTAGAAATATACAAAATTTAAAAAACAATTGTAATAATTTCTGATGTAAATTTATAGAATATTATAAATATGACTAGCAGATCTTCTACAAAGCAATGCTTTAGTGAGACTGAAGCAGCTATTTTTCCTCCTTCCCTCCTCCCATTTTTGATAGCAGTGTAAAAAAAGATAAGAACTATGTTCATTCCAAGTACCAACTCAGATTTAGTCTGCCTAACTCTCTATAGGATGGCCTATGTCCTCACGACCCCATTTCCTTTCATAAATTGCTCTCTATTCTGAATGCACTACTGATCCCAGAGAAGGACACTATCCAGGATTCTCACCAGCTAAACTCTCTCTCATTAAGTTGAAGCTGACCTGTCTGCAATCTACAGACACAGAGCTGCTCCACTGGGTTTCCAGGTATTTAATTCACCTGCCACTTTACTGCTTGGGGCCAGCCTCAGCTAGTTTTATGTTAACTCAACTTTCACAATTATACTTTTACAGTAGTGATTTGCAGTCTTCCTTGGTCATTTCAGCAATAACCACATAGAGAAACCTGGGCGCCTAAGAGATGCAGTCCAGAGTTTTTACTGATGGGGATGCCATTGGCTTCCAGCATCAACTCCCAGTATGAGGTGAGACTGCTATTCTCAACACCTTGCAAGCAGAGTCTCCAATAGTTTCCTAGGCCATGGCCACCACTCCTCCAAAATCACATACCCCAGGCCAGTGAGTTTTGCACACTGAGGGCCACTGGGGGTCACTGGCCTCAGACACACAGTTCTAGTCTTCACACGGCCACTGTTTCTCTCTGTGACTTTGTACAAATGATCACTTGATTCTTTGAGTCTCAGTTTCCTGGATGATGACCATGATACCTCCTGTGTTAAACATCTACTAGAGTTCTGCCAACTATTTCTTTTGCTACGAAATCAGGAGCATTAAAAAAGCAAGTAATATTCTCCCTGTTGTGGTGGTCATTAGAGTGGTTCACAATACTCCCGTTCTCCTCTTTAGGGGCACGTGGTATAGCTACACTTTGCCCCTCCATTTTAATTGGGCTGAGGTTCTGGCCAATAAAATCATTGTCATTTCCAGGTAAAGCATGTAAGTGCTAGTATTCAACCCCAACCCTCCCTTTTCCCTGTGACTATAAAAGTGTGTTTCAGATGGTGTCTCCTTCAGCCTGAGTCTCTGAGTGACCACAACAAAGCCCAAGGCCAACCCATATCACCTAAGCAAGGTATAAACCTCTTTTGTTATACACCTTGAGATGATGGACTGTCTGTTACCACAGGCCAGGTAAACTGTCACACTTCTTATCAAGTGTCCTACACCTGCCTCCATCTCCCCACCACCAGTCCCCTCTCATCAAGAAAGAAAATTGCTTTTCACTCTTGCTATACCATGGAAACTCTATACTTGCACCACTGGTATCTTCCTTCTTGCCACATGTCTTTTAAAAAAAAAATTATTTATCTATTTGAGAAAGAGAGAGAGAGAACATGAACAGAGGGAGGGATAGAGAGAGAGGGATAAACAGACTGCCTGCTGAGCAGAGAGCCTGACATGGGGCTCAATCCCAGGACCTGAGATCATGACCTGAGCTGAAGGCAGATGCTTAACTGACTGAGCCATGCAGGTGCCCCCAACATATCTTTTCATAATGTATAGTTTGCACAGCCAACTTTTTCCTCTCATTTGATGTAACATTTTAACCACGTATATGTAACTTGTGCCTTAAAAAGCCCCATGTTAGAATCCTAGCTCCGTCACTTACTATGTGACTGACACAAGTTCTTACATCTCTTTCAGCTTCAGTTTCCCTGCCAGGAAACACAGGACCAGGCTGCTTATTCTGTTCCATGTTTGTGGACAGTAAGTGAGATGACGTAGCCTCTATATTATTTATTCTTTTCTAACTGATGTCAATAAAATAATTTTTCTTCTTAATGAGAATAAAGTACACTCATTGTACAAATTGTAAAAGATACAGATATAAACATTTAAAATTTCTCTTTTTAAGATAAAATAATGACATTTTTTTCATTAAGATCACCCAAAATCCTGCTACCTGGAAATAAACAATATATACATTTTGTTCTAATTTCTCCATTTCTCTCTCTCCATCCGTGTATGTATAACTGGGATGCTATATACAATTTCCCAAACAGTTTTCAATAAATGTATCATGAGAATTTCCCCCCTTGTAATTAAATAGCCCCTTGTAATAGATTTAATGGGTGAGTGGGGTCATATCCATCCACCATTTCCCTAAAATCAACTCTTCCCTTGGGTTCTCTGAAGCTCTCTTTTAGATTGGAAACCTATTTCCCATGTGTCTTTTGTAAATTCTTCACCTTCCTGCAGTCTGTAATTGGATCCTTCCTCTTATTACTCTGTCCTAGAAACATTTTCATCATCTATGTGTATCCTTAGGAGAAGAACTGAGGTCTGTTTCCACAGCTCTCACATATGCATAGATACTTTTCAAACTTTATCTTTTACTCCCTTGACCTCTTTCACATACCTAACCACCTGTTGATCACTTTCATTTGGATGTCCTAATATCACTTTAGATGCAAGATGACCAAAAGCCAATTCATGATCCATGCACACATGCCTAAACTGAATCCCTACTACCTACTCCTTTTCTCTCAACCTGCCACTTTCTAACGCATCCACAGGTCCAACACCCTAATCTTTACTCAGTAACTCATGTTTAAGACCTCAGAACCACATCTGTCTCTTTCCTCTCCTTCCTCTTTTATTTTCAGTTCATCATTAAGTCATATGGCTCTATTTTGGAAAGACTTCTCATATCCATCATTTTTTTTTAAGATTTTGTTTGAGAGAGAGAGAGAGAGGGAGAAAAAGAGAGAGCACACATGAGAGAGCACAAGTGGTGGGTGGGAAGGGCAGAGGGAGAGGTAGAAGCAGACTCCCTGCTGAGGAGGGAGCCAGACTCAGGGCTCAATCCCAGAACCCTGGGATCATGACCTGAGCCAAAGGCAGACACACTTAACCAACTGAGCCTTCCAGGTGCCCCCATCATTCTTTCCTATCATTACTTTTGACATCACAAACTCAGATCCCTTCCACTCCCACATTCCTAATGAGGTTGAAAATAATTGCATGACTGAGTGTGTGTGTGTGTGTGTGTGTGTGTGTGTGTGTGTATTCCTAGCCTTTGACTCTATCCCCTATCCTAAACAGGGACATGGCTTCATCTGATCAGTTTCTCCCCATCATAGTGTATCTCTCAGCCAGGTCCAGTCCTGGATTTTAGGATATGTGGGTAGCAAAGTGAACTTGAGAAACTAAGTACAAAGGTACAAGACATTGAAGCACAGGCTATGATGATCTGTGTAATAAGGAGAAGGAAGTCAGAACAGAGAGAGGAAGAATAAGCCCTGAAACTTGGATGAGAGAGGTATGTTTTAAGGGCACAATAAGGAAATTGCAAAGAAGAGAAAAGGGACAGAGGAAAACGTTGCTAGGGGCTATTTCTGGGGCCCTTTCAATGTTTTCCAAAGACACAAATTGAAAAATTAGACTACCTTTTGATTTTTTTCAGCTGTTTTGACTGTATGTGTTTGAAAGTATCTTTATACTGGGCCCTATGGGTCTGAGATTCAAAGGTGTCCCACAGGACTCACTGTCATAATTTATCTCTACTTCCAAATC